CTAGGAGCTGGAACCAACTTCCAAGGGAAGTGGTGCTGGCCCCTACCCTGGGGGTCTTTAAGAAGAGGCTGGATGCCTACCTGGCTGGACTCATTTGAGTCCCGTTTCTCTTTTGGGGTTTTTCGTTGTTCTCCCGCCCTGGCGGGGGGTCGGGCTAGTAGATCTACTAGGTCCCTTCCGACCCTTAATCTATGAATCTATGAACCTTCAAGCATGGAAATTCTATAATCTATCTGGGTAACCTGTTCCAGTGCTTCACTACCCTCCTGGTAAGGTGTTAGATATGAGGAACATTTTTCAACTTCCCTGGCTGTGACTGAGGCCACTGTTCTTTGTTCTGTCAACTATAATTAGGGACCTATCTAATCTGTAGGGGCTGTGCCCCCCCTCCCCCCGTTTTTCAGGCAAAATGTCCCCCCCCATGCCTCCGATTGGCTGAGGGACCCCAGGAGCCCCACCTTTCACAGCTGATTGGGTGCAAGTGCTTTCTGTCATGTAGCCCTGTCCCTCACCACCCTCTGAGGAGCCAGCATTTTCTTTTTCATAAGCTTCCCCTCCCCCTGCCCCCCAGATTTCAGAGGCAATACCAGATTTCACAGAATCTGCAAAACTGCGAAATTGGTAGGCCCCTAACTATAATAAGATTCAGTTACTGTCAGGTGGATGAGTAGGCAAAAAAACCCAAAAGTGCTGAAACAATTTTCAAACAAATGAGAAAAAGACCAGGGCAACAACAATACATGCAGAGCAACATGGAGTCCTCATAGCTGATCTTCACTTTTATAAATTGCTTTAAAGCACAGAGCATTTTTTTTCAAAGTCACAGCTGCTCATCCCTATATGCTGAATAGAGAAACTTGAATTGCAAGTTCCTAGGAATGCAAGTTCCTCTTTTGTTGCCTATGCCCAGTGCCTAACACAAAGGCATTCCTCACACAGCACTGGAGCCTTTAAGTGCTATTGAGATACAAATAATTAATAAAGGCAATTTGGTAAAATAAGTGTCTATATAAAAAAAGGATAAGTGAGATTTTCAAACGTGTGCCACATGTCGTCACAGATCCTTTAGATAACAGCCTCTAATACTTTCCCCACATACCCTTCACTCTTGACGGCAGGCAGCTGCTTCTTCAGAGATTCTTTATCCTCAGCTACCAAAATGCCAAAGCCCTGGAGCTGACTGGCACCAAATGCAGGAAGAAAGCCCAGCTCTGCTCGGCGGCTCACAAAGCAGTCTGGATGGTACCAGTTATCTATCATTCCCAGCTGGGGCTTTTCCGGATGCACCATCTTCTTAGAAATTCTGATCTGACTCTGAAGTGGGAAAGCACAGCACAAACATGTCTATGATGCTGCTATGAAGGCATGAAATGTCAAGTCAGAGGAAGAGGTCTACCACCCTGTAATAAATGTGACATTATTTCTGTGGTTGCACATTAGCAATAGCTATTCCATTCCTCTCCCACTGACAACCACTATGCTGAAATTTACATCACTGACTTCATGTCAATCCTCTCATTTACTTATGCTCTCAAAACTCCTTTTGGGGTTAATGTTTCCATGTTTAGTCTTAGCATATGCATTTTTAAATGTTATTGTTTTAAATTAGGGAAAATCCCTTTGCCAGCTTAAAGAAAATTAAGGCCTTTAAATTACTTTGTCTGGAAATTACTGAAAAACAGCTAAACAAGAATATGTATATTTGGACTCAACTTTGCAACATTTACAGAAGCAAAGAGCCCCCAAATCCCACTGAAGCTGAGTGAGAGAACTTACAAGATGGGGCCCCATGAAAGGAGTTTGACAATAATTAGTGGAGAAAATCAGAAGCAGTAAAGTATGAGTATTGTTAACATCCGCAAAACTGAATCGAGTCAATTTGATTTTTGGGCAGATCTTACCCTCAGTTAAGCCTTCCTGACAGTCATTTAAGCCTTCTTTTTTAGCATAAGTTTAAGCCCCAAATTCTGCAAACAGAACTGGCCTTCCACACCAAAAGCACAACTGTAGAGCTCCAATCAGAAGCCAAAGCTTTTCTCCAAGGAAGCCCTTTCTCTGCTAAAACACTGGCAGTAATCTGCTAATCAACTAGTCAGCTGGCCATGATCAAATGCTCTTTCCCTATGCATAAGGGAGGGTCATCAGGTCTAAATCCCAGGGGCTGAAGGTCACATCTGAGAGAGAAACATTACTACAGTGTAATAGCCCTAGACTAACAAGATGTTCAGAACAAAGCAGTTCTTTGGAGACAGAATTGCAGCTTTTAAAACTAGAAAGTATAGCTCAGTACACACAGAATCACCTGCGTCAGCCTGGAGGGTGGGGTATACAGAGGAAAGGAGAATACCGGTAAGTTGCACGTCTCTTTACCTTTTCTATTTTCAGTTCACAGCCTTTGCAGGTACTTCTGTTAGACTTGGCATATTCTACTGCAAAGTCATGTAAGCTTTTATCAGCCTTGCCACCTCCTTCCTGGTCACCACCTTTACCTGGGCAAAGAAAAAAAAGAGACAAATATTCAACTTCAAAGGCATTACTTCTTAAAAAGTATCACTGTCTCTGTATAAACATATCTAATATTTGCACAGATTTATTGAGAGATATCTATTCAGACACAAACTAGTATGCTCAGAAAAGTAAGTTCACCGATAGAACCCACAATGCATCTTTACAATTCATGATCCCACAAAAAGCATTAGGAAGACTGCACCCCCACAGTCATCACATGCTACCCACTCTGGCCTTTGGGAAAAACTATTTCAGTGTTTGCCTTAGCATTCATTATTATAGCACACGTGCTTTATAACAGTGGTGCTCAACCTTTTTACCCAGATAGCCAGATGGGTGATGCCCAGTCTGTCTGTGTGTCAGACTTTGCCAGTGGTCCTGATCTGGTGCTCAGGGCAGGCACAGTAGGGCTCCATCTGGCTGTAAGGAGTGGGCTGCTCAGCTCTGATGCAGCCACACAGGAGGAAGGGAGCATGGCCACACCCTGATTCCAGCAGCATAGGGTGCACAGTCCAATTCCACCCCACCATGCACGGCTCCAGAAGCTGGCAGTGAGGAAGGGTGATGGCATTAATGGTCACCACTCCTCCACAAAATTTCCCGACCTGTGGGAAATCCCAGGGGCTAGATGCCATGGCTTCATGGATCAGATCTGGCTCACAGGCTGGAGGCTGGGCACCCCCTTTTTTTTTTTTCCTGACATTTCACATTTATGAAGAGAATCTATGGGGGACATGAATATCCCCTCTGAGGCGCACCAGTTTCACTGAGCAAAATTATTAAGCAAGAAATTCTAAAGCTCTGCTACTTGCCCTGTTACTGGACCTCTTGCCCATTTTATAAGACTGGTAAGAACACCCAGCTGGGAAATGCTGCTTCCATTGTAAAGTATTATGAAATTTAAAGTTAAAAACCCCATAGAAATCTGACCAGAATGAGATCAACTAAGCTGCCACATGTCCTACAGAATGCCTCTTCCCAAATATAAGAAACATTTTTCTTTTACACAACGTCCAGACAAGCAAACATTCTGTAAACTCACCCAGGGTTCTTGTTCCATACATACACTAGATGGGTTTAGTTTGTCCCATATGCATTCACAACCTTTCAAACTATATCTGATCATTTCCCTGACCATTTAGTTTGTCACAGTGATCTCTAAATACAATGTTCTGGTTGCACAGGGTGTGTGTAGATGAAACAGGGCCCTAAATTGAAGCAGTGGGTTTTTAAAAACACTGCTTTAATTTCATGCTATTTAAACCCCCATGTCATGCACACACCCCACTGACTTACCTGCCTCTCCAGCGAGAATGGGAGGGTGAGCTGCTGATGGGCAGATGTTCCTGGGCTGCAGGGAGGGCTGGTGCTTCCCTTTGCAGCAGCAGCGGCCCCCTTACCCCACAGGCAGCACCCAGCTTGGGTGGTCCCAGGGGGCACTGCAGCCACAGAGGGAAGCACCAGGCCCCCCACAC